TATTGGTTGAGTTCCATAGATTTGGGTTTTTCTTGTTGTGTTGTGACCATGGGTACAGAAGATAATGGTGATATGGGTTTTCAACATAGGGGTCCTTCTTCTGGAATGAACCCAATTTCAGTGTCTGAGAAGATTTTAGGAAGAGCAATGAGCTCAGGGGCCATAATAAAATCTACAAATGGGGCAGACCCTTTCTTTGATTCTGGTTGGGATTCACTTTCAATGAGTCAGAGTGAGAATTTTGGAGGTTCCTCAATGGTACCTCCCACTGACTTTGCCCATCCACCCTTCCCAGTTTTGCTGGCAAATCAGGCAATTGTTACCTCTTCCCACCTTGTTAATTACCCATCTGATTTGGGTCCTGTTGATATGGTGCCAAAGCTTCCAAGTTTTGGAAGTGGAAACTTCTCAGAAATGGTCAGTTCCTTTGGCCTACCTGAGAGTGGACTGATCACAAACTCTGGCTGCCCTATAAATTATCTCCGAAGCAAGGAGGGTGGCACTGCCAATGCCTCATCCAATAATGCACATTGTCAGGAGAACTGCCAAGTTTCAGAAGAGGGATCATCACCTAATGGAAGGAGGAAAAGGAGGGCATCAGATTCCCCTTCTGCTATAAACACCAGTAAGGTAAATTGTCTTTAGAATTCCTCGTGTTGCATGCGTCTAACATTTAAACTCTTTAAAATATACGTTAATAAATTATACTCAAATTTCTTGAAGTTTATAGATATATAATACTTAGACCCCTCAAATTTAAAATGTTATATTAAACTAAAAATAATTCAAGTAAATATAGAATATCAAATATTTTAAATTTTATAACCAAAATTTATGTTATATTATGTCATTTATTAAAATAAAATTAAAAATAAAATTCAATTTTTTCTTTAAAAACTTGTAATTTAGTAAACAGTTATACTATCTTTAGAACTACTAGAGTACTGCACATGCTGCTACTCTGGTGGGCTGTTATATACAGTTATATCGTGCACATTACAGTTTGGTCCTTTGTTTATTTTTTTTGTTTTATTCCAATAGATAGTATAATTATATATTAATTATGATTTTTTAAAAAAATTATTTTTGATTTTATATCAACTAGTTGGTGCACACGTGCGTTGCACGTGGACCCTTTCGAGCAGCAAATATTACTCATTGTTGATGATAAAAATCATGAACTCTAATAAATCATATAGATTCGTCGTGTCTTTGTCAGCTTTGTAGACAAGTTTTTGAACTCTCTTGCTAGTTAGATGTCGACTATAAGTTATGGAATACATTATTTAGTATTCACGAAAAATAATTAGATAGATAGTTAATAACCAAGAATTAGAATCAATAGTTCACCAATAAACTCATGATTTGGATAACTTCAATAAAACCAAAATGAGAATTATCACATGTTGATTTAGGTAATTCAAGAACTCTTCATCTTCGAGTTTGAATATTTTCAATTTGCTCTTAGACCCCTTCTTGATGCCTTCTTGATGCATCTTTTTTATCTTGAGAACCTTACTCTGACTTTCTACTTCTTGGAGGAGATATTCCTTGCCTCCATTTGAGTGTTTGTGCTTGTCATCATCTTCTCCGACTATTGCGTGAGTATGTTGTGTGGGTGATAATTATTGTTATTGTATTCTTGTCACAAAATTAATAAAACATTCTTTCTTTTTTGTCATTGTATAACAAATTTAAATTAACCTAATAATTTAAAAGAAGAATCATGCAACTCAACTTAAACAAAGTGTTCCTTTAATTGAATTTAGTTATCTATAATCCAAGTTTGTTGTCACTCCAAACTGCTTGAGTGGTTAACAATAGCAAAATAAGAATTGTACTCAACTGGTCTTTGGTCCAATGGTACTACTTGTCTTATGAAGACATTGTTTTCTTAAGGTCAAGGGTTCAAACCCCCTTCCCATCTCCCTCTCCCACCCCCCCCCCCCCCAAAAAAAAAAAAATATATTCATCATTACCCACACAATAGAATACAAAAATAACTCTCGACCTATGACAAGTTTTTAGCCAAATAAAATTCAATATCTTCTCTTAACCAAGATTAACGAAAAATTAATAGTTAATTATAGGAAAAAAAAAGTTATATAGAAAACCTCTATAATAGTTTATAATAACAAAATTAAAGGAAAAGTAAAGTCATGGAGAGAAAATCTCTCTTAAAAGACAAATAAATAGCTAATTAAACATTTTAATTGATGTCTCATTTGTAAAATTTCTCATATTGGTCAATTGGTTGAGTTTCTTGATGTCTAAAACTAATGAATGCATCCTGGGAAACTCGATCGATTTGGCCGAGTTTCCTATGTTATAAATAAATCGAGACAATATTTTTATCTTTGTTTCTACTCTCTTCCATTCGTAATTATATGATTTTCTCATCAAATTCTATTTGATTTTAAATAACTGGTATTCATTTCAATAAATAATTCCCTCGTCAAAGCACAAAGTTTACTTTATAAAAATACTATAATCACTAATATCCAAATTCACTTGTTTTCTACATAAAAATTCAAATTAGCTTCCACCTAAATAGACCTAATACTACAACTACGTCTTTTTTCAGAAGGTGATATTACAATTACCTCATTAAGTAGAGAATATAAGAATCGATGTTCAATTTTATTGAGTTGAGAACCTAGAAATCAACTTCCAAGTTTTTTGCCGAGTATTGTATTTTTTCAGCAACTAAATGGAAGTATTGTTCATAAAAAATTGAAAGCTAAATTATCTACTTGTGCAAGTAGAAAGACAAGAAATTTTTTTGAAATGACTATACATAATGCATAGTTTAGTTTGAGGCATTAACAATTTTACCCTAAGATTATGATTTGGAAATCTAGTCAAGTCACACCTAGTTGGAGATTTTTAGATTTGCACCTAATATACTTACTGAATTGGTTATAAGTAAAACTCAACATTTGGTCATGCATTCAAAATTTGTAGGGAAAAAAAAATCAAGAATCAAGTGTGAGAAGGAAAAAGATTACCATTAATTTGTAAACAAAATATATATCTAATACGATACGGATACTGGGATATGACAAAGTTCAAAAATATAAGACGCGTGTATGTCAAAGATACAACTAATCAAAATAATATAATATATTTTTAGACAATAATAAAATTATAATAATTAAAAATAAAACATATTTTATAATAATATTAATAATGAGATCTAGCAAATATCATTTTTTTTATTAAAATTAAAATATATCAAAATAAACATCCATAATTTTCACCAAACATCATTACATACATTAACATTCATATTACATAAGTTACATAACCAAAAACACACAAAAAAAAAAAAACTAAGCTACATTCATTTAAATAAAAATATTAGTCCTGTTTGACTGAACTCATTATTCAAGACACTTCTAACTGTGTCGGACACATGTCTGGTTGTGTCCAACACTGCCACGACACCATCAAGAAATATACATGCTTTCTAGCTTGCAACTGACCCACTATTTCAATTTGCTATTATTATGTGATGTGTCTCACCAGTTAATGAGATATCGCTTTGATAAAAAATAAAAATAGGATATCGCAAGCTTCCATTACCCAAAAGTGGTGATCCGGTTTATTTTTTTATTGTATTTCTTGTGTGTCGTATGAAACATCTGACCAAGGAAATAAAAAAAGATAATACATTCATAAACCTAATTGATGTAGACATTACATATACTTTTAAACACAAATCAATGTCAGCCCCTTTTAATTATATGCCCAGAATAAAAAAAAAACATAAAGATTTCAAAATTGTATGTAATCCATAATTGTCTACAGAAACTTATGTGGGCTCACCTGGAGACTCAAAAAATGTTAAGTATACGCATTCTATGAATAAAAGTCATTGTTAAAGGGTGACTACACCAGGAACAAACTTGTCCTTTGAAGTTCCTTGAGTGTCAATTTTTTCAAGTGAGCTCTCTAAATTAAAGGATGAGTCTAGATTTGCAATATAGATAACTTTTAAGGATAAGTAAAAAGTTCCTCAATGGAGTAATTCGCATTAAAGATTTAATTGTAACATTCACAAATTCAGTCTTTCTAATGTTAGAGTCCTACCTAAAATATTGTCGGAGCCATCAGATTATAATTAGTACTAGAGAATGGTGAAATTAGACACTTGCTTGTCTAAGTTTATATTCAAAATTGTTCAAAATATACCAATGAGCAACAAGAATGAAATGTCACAGTAATAGCAACAAATATCAGAACCAATGCTCTAGACCATTGTCCATTTCTATCAAGCTGCTGAACTTGCGTTCAAGTAAACTTGTACAATAATATCAAAATAATTAAACGAGGAGATTAATCAAAATAGGAATATAAATTATTAGCAAAGGTATAAAGCCATACAAAAATCTGCTACGTGTTAAAAAAAATTAGAACTAAATATTAGTGAATCTCGAGTCAAGAACGTGTCAAATAAGAGTCAAAACTGCCTCCCCCTAACCCTTGCAATAGCTAACTTCCCACACACCCACCACCAACCTCCATCTCCACCTAGAACTCACCTCCCCTCACCCCTAACCCCACCCCAGCCCACCCCACCCTACCCCACAACTACACAGCCGTTCCTCCATGCACCACCCGCAGCCTCCCCAAAGTTAGCAACAACCCCACCCTCGTCAACCTATCTCTCTACCATCTTTCCAGTCGGACAACCCCTTTTAGCTTCCCACTCCATTCACAACCCAGCCCTTTAACCCGTCGCAGAGCACCAAGATCAAACTCACACCAGATGACGAAGCTTTGTCAACAACAAATTTCGATGATTTTTTTGTTATTATTATGGTTGAACTTGCGAGAATTTGTGTGATTTCTTTATGGGTTGGTCATATTCAGGGAATTGATGCAGTTGAATTTGTGGTTAACTGTGGCTGGGGTTGGCACTGGTGGAGTCGATTTGGATGGTTTGGGGGTGAAAATATCACGTTGATTTGCGATGCCTAAAATAAACGGCGACAATGCTAGTGGTTCCAGTGGTTGTTATTATCTTTGAGTGTATTCTGCGCAAAAAGAGAAACAAGGTTGCGATATCGTGACTAACTGATGGTAGGTGGTGGTAATAGTTATGGATAAATTAAGTAAATAAGTGAAAGAAAAATTATAGTAGTAATTTTGTAGCAATGTAATTAATCATTTAAATTAGATGAATTATTGTGTATTTAAGTATTAATATGGTAAAATACTAGTATAATTATAACTAATTATTAGAATTATAATTCATTGATCAATTAACAAATGATTTGCGTAAATAGATAATTGATTATCAAGATTACAATTAATATGGTTGAGTTGGATAATTTTTTTTTTCAAAATTATAATTGATATGGAAATTAATTAGGGATAGAATTATTATTTCACTTTTAATATAGGGGTAATATAGTCTTATATGCACTGGTCTTCTGGTAGAAGGGGAATTTTTGGTAGGGTTAGTATAGTCTTGTTGCTATCATCGTACACCATTAATTATATTAACATTCCTCAGTCAAGGAAGGGTTGAGGTGTTACAATTCAAATGTCAAGGGGTCTTAATGCTATTCCGAAAAATGAAGGTTTACATATTAGATTTTGGGATAATATGGGAATTTTTTAAAAAATTTAAGTAAATATTTGAATTTCTCCATTGGAGTGGTCTATACCAAATTAAGTTTTTTACTCAAATTTGAATAAAAATTTGAGTCTCCATTGGAGATGTTCTAACAACGTTATTTGTCCGGAGCTGTGTAAATACCCTATGATCTATAATTCTTTTTTGAGTCATATGAATGGGAGAGAAACATGGCGACACAAACATGGACATTATATATATATATATATATATATATATATATATATATATATATATATATATATAATAAATTTTGAACTAGAATTCATAATGTATATGCATCAAGAAAAATAATTATTTGAATTACAAATAATTATAATATACAAGATACAATGCCCTACATCAAACTGTATAATATGCAATAAGCACTCTAGTTATTTCCAAAGAAAGAGCAAACTTACCCGTTCAAAGACATTGGCAAGAGCTCTACACCCTCCTTTATCACTCTTAATCAAAGTTCCATCCTCATCTCGCATCCGAGCCAATCTTCTTTGTTCTTCAGCAGTAACAACATTCTGAAGAAGGTTGTTAGACCCTGCAAGCAGGACACATAGGGTTAATGAAAGAAGACATCGCAAATACAAGCATGCACATACAAACACACATACGATGGTCATGAGTGTAAAAATAAAGAAGCAGAATTAGACATCAACTCAAATCAACCAAACATAAATCATTTCGACTATACCTATAAAATTCATCAAACCATGAAGCAAATCATTAATATTTGAAGCTTTGCAAAATCAATTTGCAATGTAAAGAGTTAAAAGCTAAAGGGAAATCCTACAAGGCAAGTACTTGCATATCTAGAAGAACTAGGGTATCTTTTCTCTTTGAAAGGATACAATAGAATTTATGGTTATGTCCAATTTGCACACCTGAACTTTCACCGACCCCTATTTTTATCCGTAGTGGTACTACATCAATTTCATCCTCCACTTTTCGACATAATAACAATTTCGTCCAATCAATAACAGCACAAGCACGTGTGCAATGTTCAATTTTGTCATGCAAAAGGACACTATATGTGATGTGATGCACAAATGTCATTTTTTTAGGCTGAAACATGTAATTTTATGCTAAATTTTTTGATGAAAGTTATTAATTGCACTCGATCAAAATTTGTTTGAAAGTTGGAGGACACACCTCATCAAGAGAGAGAGAGAGTGAGAGAAACTTTAAGCACCAAAGGGTAAATCAGTGTAAACTTTTGAAGTTGAAAAAATAATTAACCTTATAATTTATGTATGTCGATCATCTTTACGGATCATTAGGATCTAGCATACAACGAGAAGGGATCTTTAAAGAAAATCTCTTTTTGTATCTTAAATTTAGTGAAACCTAGAATACTAGAAACAAAGTTACTTGCACAATTTAATGCATCATAGTTAACAGCGACTTACCAGGAAAAAAAATTATGGACCAACAGCGGAATCAAAGCAATCAAGAATCAAGATATAATAAAAAGCACAACCCAGTCCACTGGATGATTACCATAACCATAAATCTATTCAGCTTGAGTAGATAGAAATTGAAGCAGATAAAAGAAAACATAAAAAATGAATTCAAATATGAGAACAATAGCATGTTTTCCTTCAAAGCTATTCAGCTTGAGTAGATAGAAAATTGGAGACGAAAGAGAATAAACGAAAATTTCAGATATGAAAACAATTTCATTTTCAATAAAGAGGAAATCAAAAAACCAGTTCAAATCAAATGCACATTCACCCAAAGGGACTAATTAATGGTTGCAATAATTCCGAAATAAAATTGGTTGACAACATCAAAACTTTGTGTTCCCAGTATAGCATACCTCCACGATCAAAACATAGGCTCACAAGGAATGGAATGATTTTAACACCCAACAAGACGGAAAACCGATTTAAACAACTGCGCAACAACAATAAACCCCAAAGAGAGAACCACAAACAGACAAACCCACGCCCACATACAAATCATCAAACGATAATGGTAAAACAGTTATACATAAACTCGTCATTCATAGATAAAATCATAAGAGGTATAATCGGAAAGAAACATGATACAAGAATCCACTTACCTCCTCCGCTGCTGTGGGAACGACTCATTGTACACTAACAAACCCAGAGAACTGTTGGATATCCGGGGCCAAAAAAATACCACAAACAAGATATAAACAAAGAGGATATCTCTATTTTTCTCTGGAAATAAAATACAATAATTATTACAAAAAAAAATTCTCACTGAGATCTCTCCCGAATCTCTCTCTCTCTTGTTTCTTCCTCACTGAACTTGAACCATGTCATTTGCCTTCACTAAGCTTCCTATTTATAGGGAGTTTTCTGGCCAAATAAGTCAAGGAGAAGGGAACACAATTTAAAGCTTGGACAAGCTTTGTCAAAGCTTCACCAGTCCACCGGCAAGCTGTCCATAGGGTGGCTACTGTCATGAGCTACTGGGTAGCCTTCTGATGGAGTTGGACCTTCAATTCTCCCCCTCCAGAACCATCAAATGAGAATGTAATTAGACATTCATCCCAGCTATGTCTCTGCACAGCTCAAGCTTCTCCCGAGTGACGACCTTTGTCAACGTGTCTACTGGATTCTCCTTTGTGTGGATCTTCACTAGTTTCAATAATTGTTGCTCCATCACTTCGCGTATCCAATGATAGCGAATATCAATATGCTTCGTCTGGTAATGGTACATTGAGTTCTTGCTCAAGTCCAGAGCACTTTGACTATCGCAATGCACCTTGTATTCCTTCTGCTTAATACCTAGTTCTTGGAGAAACCACTTTAACCACAACATTTCCTTACCAGCTTCCGCTGCTGCAATATACTTTGCCTCTGTCGTGGATAAAGCTATGCATTTCTGCAACCTTGACTGCCATGACACAGCTCCCCCTACAAAAGTGTACATAAATTCTAATGTAGATTTTCTACCATCAAGATCTCCTACCATATCTGAATCTGTATAGCCTTCCAAAACTGGTTCGACTCCCCCGTAACACATACATTTTTTCGATGTACCCTTAAGGTATCTGAGAATCCACTTGACTGCCTCCCAGTGTTCTTTCCCTGGATTGGAAAGAATTTTGCTCACCATACCCACTGCATGGGCAATATCTGGCCTTGTACACACCATTGCATACATTAGACTCTCAACTGCTGAAGAGTAAGGAATCAGTGTCATATCTTCTATCTCCTTCTTTGATGAGGGACATAAATTCTTGCTCAACTTGAAATGATTAGCTAGTAGGATGTTGACTGGCTTGGCAGTATTCATTTGAACCTCTAGATCACCCGTTCAACGTATTTCTCCTGTGATAGCCACAATTTCTTGGTTTTCCTATCACGAACAATCTGGATGCCTAATATCTGCTGAGCTGGGCCTAAGTCCTTCATGTCAAAGGACTTGGACAGTTCCTTCTTCAACTGGCTAATCTTTATTACATCCTTTCCGACGATCAACATGTTGTCAACATAAAGTAGGAGTGCAACGAAATTGCCATCCGAGAATCTCTGAATGTAAACACACTGATCCGCAGCAGTCCTCTTGTAGCCTTGACCCACCAAGAATGAGTCAAATTTCTTATACCACTGTCAGGGCGCTTGTTTGAGGCCGTATAGACTCTTCTTCAACTTGCAGACCAGATTTTTCTTTCTTGGAACTTCGAAACCTTCCGGTTGTTCCATATAGATTTCTTCATTTAGTTCTCCATGAAGAAATACAGTTTTCACGTCCATTTGTTCAAGCTCTAAGTTTAAACTGGCTACTAATCCGAGAATGACTCGAATTGAGGTCATCTTAACAACTAGTGAGAAAATCTCGTCAAAGTCAATACCTTTCTTCTGTTGGAATCTTTTAACGACCAATCGAGCTTTATACTTCACCAATTTCCCACTGCCATCTTTCTTCAGCTTGAACACCCATTTATTCCTCAGTGCTTTCTTGCCTTTTAGAAGTTTCACAAGCTTATAGGTTTGATTTGTCTACAGGGAATCCATCTCATCCTGCATGGCTTGCATCCACTTGTCTTTATCCGTATGAGCTTGTGCCTCCTGGAAGCTCTCTGGCTCCCCCTCATCAGTAAGCAGAATATAGTCTGACTCCGGATTTTTACTCGACGAAATGCATCCTCTTTCGGATCTTTGTGATTGAGGCTCGTCAGCTATATGAGGTACACCATCCTCTGGCTGATGTGATGGTCCTGCAACATCTGGTGGAGGGGGTTGTTGCTCCCCCTGCTCAACACCTTAATCATCATTTGCTCTGCTTCTGTAGTTTCATCCTGCACTTTGTCATTATCTGTGGCGAATTGTAATGGTGCAGGGTCTGAAACAATTTCCTGTGCACTGGAACTAGAACTGCTGGACTTTGTGGGATTTTCAAAATCCTCTTATACCTGGTTTTCATGGAACACCCCGTCTCTACTCCTGATGATCTTTTTGGCCTTTGAGTCCCACAGTCTGTATCCAAATTCTTCATCTCCCTAGCCTATAAAGATGCACGGAGTGGTCTTGACGTCAAGTTTTTGCCTTTGTTCCTTGGATACATGTGCAAATGCTCTGCACCCAAAAATTCTTAAGTGAGAATAAGTAGGATTCCTATCAGACCACACCTTCTCCGGAATATCAAAATTCAATGGTACTGACGGTGATCTATTTATCAGATAACATGCGGTACGAACAACTTCACCCCAGAATGGCTTTGGCAGCTTTGCCATACTGAGCATGCATCGAGCTCTTTCCACAATGGTTCAATTCATCCTCTCTACTATTCCATTGTGCTGTGGGGTATGTGGAACAGTCTTCTCATGTCTGATACCATAATTTCCACAGTATGCTTCAAACTCTCTGGAAGTATATTCGCCTCCATTGTCTGTTCGGAGACACTTTAGCTTCGTTCCTGTTCCTCGCTCTACCATGGCATGGAATCTTTTGAAGCATTCGTGCACTTGGTCCTTCGTTTTTAGGAAGTACACTCATACCTTCCGTGAAGCATCATCAATAAAGGTCAAAAAATATCTGTTGTCGCCCAATGATTCCACCTCCAGAGGACTGCAAACATCAGAGTATACCAGGCTTAACAACTTTGATCTCCTCTTCATAGAGGAACTGAACGAGATTCGATGTTGTTTACCAAACAAGCAATGATCACAAGGATTTAGTGCAACATCCTTGGCAACTGTGATGAGATTCTTCTTTGCCAAGGTAAATAATCTTTTTTCTCCCATGTGACCAAGTCTCTGGTGCCACAGATTTGGTGAAGCCTCATTTTCAACTGCATTGAGGCTGTCTGAGCAAACCTTCACATGGGTCTTATAAAACGTGCCACAAATATGTCCTCAGGCGACAACCAAGGCACCTTTCATGAGCTTCCATGTGTCATTGCTGAAGTGGTTATCGTAGCCTTATCTGTCGAGGGCTATCCCAGAAAGTAGATTTAGCCGAAGGTCAAGCACGTGTCGGACATCCTTCAATACCAATATACACCCAACATTTGTTTTTATCTGAATATCACCAATTCCCATGATCTTGGAAGAACTGGTGTTTCCCATCCTCATCGTACCAAAGTCTCCGACTTTGTATGTCGAGAAGAAATCACTGTGAGAAGTGGTATGGTGTGAAGCTATAGTATCTACCACCCACTCAGCGTCATGGTTGGAAAAATGAAGGCATGTCTCCTCATTGACAGAAAGGATAACCACGTCTTCTACAAGAGTGACTAGTGTCTCTCCGTCCTATTTCTTCGATTGATTATTGCCTTGGCCTTGTTCTCGTAGCAACTTGCGGCAGTTTTTCTTCATGTGACCTTGCAAGCCACAATGGTAACACTTGTATGTAGGTCTTCCTCCGTCATTTGATCTCCCTGGATCTTGTGACTTTCCTCTACTCTTACTTCTTCCTATTCCCCTGCCTCTACTACCTCCTTGATGTCTACCTCTGCTCTCAATGATGAGGGAATTTGACTGGTCAATGCCAACATCCTTTCTCCTGGCCTCCTCATTGAATAGGGCATCCTTAATCATTGACATGGTAAGTTTGCCTCCTGGAGCCGAATTGCTGAGAGAGACTACCAGCGTCTCCCAGCTGTCTGGTAGAGAACTGAGAAGTAAGAGAGCTTGTACTTCATCTCCCAGATTCAACTCTATCGATGATAATTGATTTACTAGACTCTAGAACTCACTAGTGTGCTCGGCAATTGAAGTTCCACTTTTTAACTTTAGATTCACAAACCGCCTCATCAAAAGGGCTTTATTTCGAGTAGTCTTGGCCTGGTACATGTCTTCCAGCTTCTTCCAGAGGACATGTGCATCAGTCTCTTGTGCAACATTGTGGAATACACTGTGGTCAATCCATTGTCTGATTTGACCGATGGTTTTTCTGTTAAGTTTTTTCCACTCTGTTTCTTTTGTCGAATTTGGATTTACACCTTTCTGCCTCCAAGGGATCGTACAAGTCTTTACAACTTAGGAGATCTTCCATCCAAGGTCTCCAAAGTGTATAATTAGAGGCAGTGAGTTTGATCATGGCTCCCAATGTTGATTCCTCTGTGAACATATTGAGTTTTTAGGCTCTAAATGTCTCAATCAAAAATTTTTGGGGTTGAATTTTGTAAAACGGAGTGCGCCGTTGCGTCCGGAACGGTTGAAATAGCTAGGAAAGAGTCTTGGTTCACCAAAAACGAAGCTAAAATGAGCTCAGAAATTGACTCAGAAAATTTTTGGTAACTTAACGAAATATTCTGTTAAACTTGACGGAATATGCTGACGGTGACAGAATATTCCCTGGATGGAATATTCTCTAAGAATATTCTGTGGATGGAATATGCTTTGGGAATATGCTTTAACTGAGATAGAATATTCTTTAACGGAATGGAATATTCCATCGTCTTCAACCTTCCTCCGGTCACCGGTCCGGCGAACTTCCGGCAGAAACTCCGACGAGCTCTGGTGAGCTCCGATAGTAACTCCGGTGACCGGTAACTTTTCGACGAACTCCCGCGAGGACCATGAGAGCGCGTACAATGTCAAATTGATGCGAGGCCAATGGGGTTCGACTTGCTTCGACTAGAGGAATCCAACGGTGCAATCAGAATTTGATTT